GTGAGCAGGGGACTGGAGTGTCTTGTTCTTGAAACTGAATCTTTCTTTACTGTTCTTGATGGTGAAGCAGATCTTGGCACTGCTTGCATAGATGATAGCTTTGGCGGTGTTCAAGAATGGTCGTCCCAAAATGATGGGCGATCTTTCGTCTCCTCATGTCTCAACCACCACAAAGTCTGCAGGCACGTACGAGTGTCCTACCCGTACACATACGTCTTCAAGGATGCCCTTCGGGTAGCAGATTGACTGGTCTGCAAGCTACAAACACATGGTTGTGTACAATAATGTATCTCCATGAATTTTCTCATAGATTACCTTAGGCATAACGTTCACGCTTGCCCCGAAGTCACAAATGGCTTCTTCGAAAGTGTGTGGTACGATGGCTATTGGAATGACATGTCTTCCTGGATCACCTTGCTTCTCTGGTAGGGTCTCATCTTTCCATCCCCTTGACGGCTGATCTTTGTAGTAGCATCCTGTATTGAATATGTCTACAAGATTTGCAGTTTCTAATTCTTCCGGTTGCCCCGGAATCTTACCTTTGTCGGTCGTCGGAACAGATGTTAATAATTGAGAAATTTGTGACTCTACCATTTTATTAAAGCTATGTTGATTCTTAATGGCATTAGCAAAGGTATCCATTCTATTATTGATTGTTTCTAGCAATTTATCATCGGAAGCTACCTTTTTAGACATTTGATCCAATAATTTCGATTGACCAGCAACTAAATCTCTTAAAGGTGTACTGAAATTATTATTGAAATTATTACCAGAGTAATTACCTTGATAGTTATCTGAGTAGTTGGACCTTTGTTGCTGATTCCATCCTTGATTTGGAGGACGATAGTTGGTATTGTTGTTGATGTAGTTCACATCCTCTTGGATTTCTGGACAATTGTGTCCTGAATGTCCTGTGCCTCCACACTCTTCATATGTCATGCGTGCATCGTGAAGGTGCATCACTTCCTTTTTGTCAACAGCTCGATCTTCGAGCTTCTTCATTAGTAGGTCCATCTAGGCAAACAACATGTCTACCTCTTTTAGGTGGTGCATACCACCTCTCTTGCGTGGCTGAGCTCTTTCTTCATTCCAACCTTGGTTGGATGCCATCTTCTCGACAAGAGCTATAGCATCTGCGATAGTGAGTGATAGAAAAGCACCTCCAGCAGCAACATCCATAGTTTCACGGGTACTACTAGTGAGCCCATGGTAGAAGGATTGCATTAAGAGCCAATTCTTCATCCCATGATGAGGACACTCTAAAATGTAATCTTGAAAGCGTTCCCAAGCCTCAGGGACTGATTCATCATGCTGTTGCTAAAAACTCGAAATCTTCCCACGCAAGGCATTCGTCTTGCCCATGAGAAAGAACTTTGCTAGAAAGGCGGTGGAGCAGATATCCCATGTAGTATTCTTATCTTTGTTTGTGTAGAACCACTGCTTTGCCTTTCCAAGTAGCGAAAATGGGAAAAGGCGGAGTAGAATAGCATCTCTGGTTACTCCCCTGATGGTGAAAGTGCTGCAAATCTCCATAAAGTGTTGGAGATGTGCACTCGCATCCTCGTGCGCTTTTAAACAGAATTGATTAGCTTGCACCATGTTGATCAAAGCTGGCTTGAGCTCAAATCCATTCTCTCCAACATCAGTGATTGGTCTGGTACGGATATTAGCGGTGGTTGGAGCAGAGAATTTGCGCAGCGACTTGTTAGCCATAGTTTCGAACTGTGGTGTTAAACTTTTCCTGATCTGATTGACCTCTGAGACTGAAAGTGAAACTTTGTTGAGCTTTGATCTAGTCCTTCTTAATAATGCTTCTGAATTTTCAATGTAGTTTTTTGGCATGTCAAAACCTTTTATACATTACCCTGCATAAGATACACAATTAGACAAACCAAGGGTAAGCCTGTTTGAGCAGAGATATGGTTTACTCAATCACATCAGTGCAGTGCAAATGTTTTACATCCTCTTTTGAATAGCCTTTCATCTTCCCTGGCAACGGCGCCAAAAATGCTTGTTGGCACCTCTAACACCACCACCACACCCAGCAGGGTGATAGCGCCAGAGGTGCTCGTAGGGAGGTATATTGATTAGCTAGCCACTTGAGATCTATATAAGTCACTTAATTATTACCTGAACTTCTAACCTGCTTTACTAGGTTGTCATCCCTAGTGTTGAAGATAAAAGTTATTGTAGGCTCTATCTAATATTAGCACTAAGCATTAATTCTATCATTTTATGTGACTTAAAGAATAAGATAAGAAAAAGAATGTATCCGCAAGCGCACAGATAATTTATATCATTGTAGCATTTTACCCTAGAGTATTCTAGGGGTCGAATTTATAGTTTTACCCATGGGAAGAGATGGCTAGAGGATCATAAACATATATGAATGCACAATGCACATGAAATTCAGAGTAACCAAATCCCTCTCCTCTACTCACAACAGGGTTAGGTGATAAATAAATATAATGATAAATAATGATAACTATCTCAAGTCATAGCATATACTAATCCATCACTTAGAGCACTCCAACCTATAGCATTAGCGAGAATAGAGAGAAGCACAAGAATATTTCTAGTTATCCTAATTATAAGTCAATGCATACTATGATTAGTGCAATTATACTTAGCAATCATGGCAAGGATACTTTATATCTACACACAAGGGACATTACTCAGGAAGAGCAAGAACAGAGCAAATCTTCCAAAGTAACCAAGTCCTACTAAACCTACATTCGGGGGATGGAATACAAAGGACTCAACGGGAGTATCACTTCTGCGATCTACCACACTACCCAGAATGTAGGGTGCATCCGTAGGTAAATAGAGTCTAAGCACCATGCTTACACACTGCCAAGCACTCACCCATGATATCAAAGAGGGAGCACTATACGATCTCATGCTTGAATATAAAGATAAACTAACTATGCTAAGCATATAACCAAAGTAGACAATGAACAATATAATTGAGAACATAAATATATTAAGCAATGTCATATCAATTGTAGCTAGCATGAATAATTACAGAAAGATACAAAGAGAGAGGTTACAGAAGCTTTACCAAAGCCTCCCTTGTGACGCGATCCGGAATCCAAGACAAGCTTGACTCCTTCTACTCTAAAAGGCTATGCCCTAGAATTGGTGGAGCTCTAAGGAGATTAAGGTTTCTCGCTCTAGACTTGAGACGGAATGAGAATAATGATCAGGGTTTTTTCTGCCGGGGGCCTGGGGCCCTGAATATATGGCCCTAGGGGGTGAACTGCAGCCCTTGGATCAAACTGACTTCATCAACGGCGGAGATAGAACCTCAAAGGCGGTGGGAGGACGTAGACACAAGGCCCTAGTCAGTGGGCCCCACCAGGGTTCGGCCGAAACCCTGGCCCACATCGGCCGGCTCCACCCAATGACAGGTGGGGTCCCCCTTCGGGTGGCGTGTCTCTCATGTCTTCTAGAGTCTTCCAAATTTACGTATGCGATAAAATATCTTTTCGAGCCCGAGATTCTCTATTTAATCTCCTCTTTTCCTGATAACCCCCTGCAGAACACAAATTTACCAAAACTCGTGGAATTCTGTCAGATAAAACCCTATCTCTATGTTGGAGTTTAATATATATCCATTTTAATGCTTAGTTGATGGGTAGAACCAATAGTTATCTACCGTCAACACCTGGCCCAACGTTCGGCTAGCCCAGTAGCCCAAACATATCAAAGCCCATGCGAAGACAAGGAAAAAGAGAGGAAAAAGGCCCATGCCGGAGTAGCAGCAGCCCAGTAGCAATTGTCACCTGCCGCCCGCCGCCCGTCGCCGCCGCTCACTAGTCTCCGTCGCCGGCGCCCACTCGATCCCACGTGCCACGCCTCTGCGGGATCCACATTTGCCCTGGCTCATCCACTACAAGGGCCGCCCGCCGCCGCTGCCGCTGCTGCTGGCAACCGGAGATGGACGGGGAGGAGGAGAACGTCGGGCCGTTCCACCGGACCAGCAGCCGCACGCGCCGGATGGCCACACGCATGGCGTCGGCGCTCGCCAGCTCTGGCAACCGCGCCCAGGTAAAGACTCGATTGGAGTCACGACTCCTGCTTCCCCCCTCTTCCTCCTATTCCAATCAAGCCATTTCCCTCTCGTTCATGAAATTATTCCCCTTTCTGTTCTTCTGCCAGTTATGAATACCTCCATATCTGTAATGCCATGTAGGCTGCTTTAGCTCGCCTTGAAGCTCTTGAGAGCGACAGTACCGGTGTTGAGGTGGTAGATCTTAATGATGATGAGTACGGATCCACTGATGAGGAAGACCCTGGTCAGTTCCTTTCTCATTTAGCTTCGTAGTAATAGTAATGCCATGATGTGAAAAAAAGGATAAGGTAGATACAGTATGTACAAGCTCGGTGACAAAATGTTATTCTTTGCAAACGACAAGTACTGAAACACATGATTTTTCTTGTGTGTGACATTTTGGTATCACTTCTAGTCTCAATTTTGTAGATGGATAAAACATCATTCTGTGTTTCTTATCCTTGCAAAGGATTCGATAAATAAGAATTAAAACTATCCTTTATATTTTAGAGGAAATATTTGGAACATACTTTTGCTTCAACATATCTGGCATAGTGGCATGAACAACCCCACAAAATATTTCTATGGTGGCTGTTATTAGCATCTGGAATTTCCCTTAAAGCCAATCGTTTAGACACCTTTGAGATCCACCTCCTACAGCCTACAGCTTGCCAACCTTGTGTTGTTAGCATCTGGAATGCCCCCAAAGTCAGTAATTTATTTATACATATGTTTGAACTCCACATTCTACAAGGCTACAAACTTTTCAACTGTAAAGATTCCTATGTCCACAGTTTCTGTAATTGCTGCATTTGTGTTATTACTTTTATAAACCTTTTGGGTTGTGGATATGTTGATGTATATTCAACTCAAATAGTCAAATGTTCTACCCCGTGAAAGTTCGATGATGTAAGCCATGTTTTGTTTTTGAATTTCATTTCTACAGTCCTCATGCAAAAGAAGCAGTCCAAGATTATGAAACGCAAGACAAGGCAAGGGAAAGCTTTGGAGAAGAGGGCAGCAAGATCATTCATGGATGTCTTACAAGAAGTAAGTAACCTTGTGCTATAAGTTTGTTTCTGGCCATGTTTATTTTGTTAGTAGGGCACTTAAAAGATTTTTACTCTGGAACTGTGACAGGCAAATCTGGAATCCCTGCCTCCTCATGTCCCAACATATTTGAGGGCTTCTGTGGGTCCACCAAGCACTTCATCTCGACGGCACTACTGTTCAGTCTGTGGTAGTTCTGCAAACTACACGTGTGTGAGGTGTGGAACAAGGTTCTGTTCTTGCCGCTGTCAAGGCATACACAACGATACACGTTGTCTGAAATTCGTGGCTTGACCAACTGGATAGACAAGCTACATTTAATGTATGTGCACTCCCTTATAATATGGTCGGGTAGGTAAGTGGTAGGGAACTGGTTTTATTAGCTATGTGCAGCAGTTGAAATTGCTAGGTTGTAGGCGAGACACTTTTTCATCAGAAATATTGTGTGAGTAGCTGTGTTTATGCTTAGCTTAGCCTGATTTGCCATAATTTTCTATTTGTTGTCCTGAACTCATAATATTTTGATTGTCACCGCCTTTGTTTCACCCTTGGAAATCATTTCTCGGATTTTTATGCTCTAGCGAAACGTGCCTCACTCTGCAATAAAGCACCTTTTGTTACAAGGACTATATCTATGCCCCCGCGTTACAACGGCAGTAACAAATTTAAACATACTAAGAGAAGCACTTGGGAAAATATTGAGTCATTGAATATCTATGCTAACTGTTCAATTTAGTAGTTGCACTGTATCACATTAGTACAAGAGATCAATAGCAATTTAAACATATAAGGGTTTCTTGTAAAACTATAACACGCTACGTGCTAATCACTACCGGACTCCCGGCCTTTGCCGAGAGCCCGAAGCTCTCGGCAAAGACGAGTTGACGCTCAACAAACTATTTGCCGAGAGCAGCTCTCGGCAAAGAGCCGTCGGCAAAACATCTACCGGCAAAAGATTCTTTGCCGAGAGCCCCTCTCGGCAAAATATTTACCGAGAGTAATGTCAAGGCTCTCGGCAAACTCTAGCTCTCGACAAACTGGCGTGCCCTAGTAACGACCAAACGACCGCTAACGGTGTGACAGCTTCTTTACCGAGAGCGACCGTCGGCAAAGAACTTCTTTGCCGAGAGCGACCGTCGGCAAAGAATTGTTAAAAAAAAGATTTGCGGCAGAGGTGGTGTTCAAAAAAAAATATAGGTTTGCCGAGAGCCGACCACCAAGCTCTCGGCAAGGAGGCAGATTTGCCGAGAGCCGACCACCAAGCTCTCGGCAAAGAGGCAGATTTGTCGAGAGCCCTACTCTCGGCAAAGAGTCCAGAGAGCATTTTTTTATTTTTGTTTATATTTCCAGCTTCAACAACACATATTTCACAAATATAACACATCATCCACATCACATATATCACAAATATGTCATCCACATCACATGTCTCACATTATAATCCATCTAAACATCTCAAATCCAACGACACATGTCCATCTCAAAGTGCTAAGTTCATCTCACACAAGTTCATGTCACAAAGTGCTAATACATGATGAAGAACAACAGGCTCACTCCCAAGGCTCCCACCCTCCCGACGGCGGCTGCTGCTGCGGCGGACGGTGTGGATACGGCTGATACCCCGACCCTCCCGACGGCTGCTGATGCGGCGGAAGTTGTGGATACGGTTGGTGCCACGACCCTCCCGACGACGGCTGCTCAGGCACATCATTCGAACCCGCCGATTGATTCTGCACAAAGGAGAAGAAAAATTAGTAATTATAGTAATACTAAGGCATATAATTGTAATATAAGCGTAGACAAGTCAAAATTTGCAGAACTAGGTATAAAATTGTAATCTAAGCCTAGACACATCAAAATTTCGGCAGCACCTCCCCTGCACGGTGGGGTTTCCAAAACCTGCAAGAAAACCAACGGCACGATGGCCGCCCACCACATATCAACGGCACGATGGCCGGCACACATATATATCAACGGCACGATGGCCGACATGTATAGTAAAGAGCTTTTGTTAGAGAAGTTGAACTCACATATGAGTAAGGTGGGTATGGGTAAGGCGGTGGAGGAGCGAACAGCTCTAGTGGCGCTGGACGACCCATCGTGACGCCAATACTTGCCACGTACTGAGCCAAGGCATCAAACCTCGCCCGCTCGGCCTCCCACCTCTATCGCTCGGCCTCCCGCTCCCTCTGTCGCTCTTCCTCCACCCTAGCCTTATGCTCCTCGAGCGCATGCACCTGGGCCTATAATTTTTCACCGCATTGTTACAAGCAATTTCGAGGAATGTAAAACCAATGAACGACGAATAAAATAGAAATAACCTGTAGTGCTACCACACGATGCGTCGAAGTGTCCTGCCTTGGGAGTATGGGCACGCTACCGCTCGTGCTGCTTGTCCGGACCTGTGAGAGAGTGGGAGTGGTGTGCGGGTCGAGCATGCTGTTGCCGATGAGGTACCGCCCATGCTTCTTGCCTCCTCCCACCCTCATGACGATGTCGCCGTCAATGTCCGCGGTGTGCGGATCCCAGTCTGCCCCATGGACTCCCCTTGCCGCCTTGGTGTACTGACTGATGCGCTCAGGGATGCTCTCGTTGGTGAACGACTCGGCTGGGTTGTCCGGGTTCCAGTTGATGTTGTCTGTCGCCTTGCCCTTGTGGGCCAAAACCCATGACTTGAGCTCTCCGCATGGCTGGTTTTGATGTGCAGCCGACTGCAAGAAAAACAACAAGACGATTATAAATCATGCAGGAATAAACATCTGAAAGAATAAATGAAGCTACACCAAGTCACGTACCCATCTAGCCCCGAATTCGTGGATGTTAAGGTTGCCCTGGTGGTGTGATACACCTGGCATCAGCAAACATCGTTCCCGGAGGACGGTGTGGTTATCCGCCCAATTGCCACTCACCCACCTGTCGACCATCATCTGCCAGGCCCGCGTTTTATTGGCGCACCAGCCAGGAGGCACCTGTACGACATCAAGTACATTGACAGATATAAGAACAATTCAAGCCTACCCAATCTCAGAAGAAATCAATATTGATGTTGTATATTTACCTTCAGGTACTGCTCTTTGGTCAGATGCATTAATCTTGCATCTTCTTTCTTTACCTTCCGATGCTCGTAGACGGCACAGTAATCGATGATGGCCTGGAGCCGCGCCTCATAATGCATGTCTGAGATGCGACCTCTAAAAGATTTGGCCGACGCCTTGGCCGCCCTCGCCTCGTAGCTCTCGGCGCATTTGAAGAAGTCCTGCATATAGAAAAGATGTATCAATACACTGGTTCAAGAAACTCTAGCGAATGCAATGTATTGAGCAAAGTAGTGGGAGGAAGACTTACCCAAAACTCGCACATAACCCGCTCCGCCACGCTTTCGTACGTGCGGCCCGTCTCATCCTCCGCATCAGGGGCGACGACGTAGTGCTCGTACGTGTAGGCCGGCTCTAGAGCTTCGGCGTAGCGAACCAAGCCTGGGAAGTGTTCCCTGCAGAGAAGACCCAAGATGCCATTGGGCAACCTTTTGTGAGCACCTGGGACCACGACCTTCCAAGACCTGCGTAAGTGATTAAGAAAAAACTGTTAGTTTCCATTGTGATTCTATCATATGTAGGAGCGAAAAAATGTAAAAGTTACGTACTTTTGCCCAACGGGTCGAATGACCGGGCGTAGAGCCTCAGGTATCGGCCGCTTAGGTAGGCTCGCCGGAACATCACTTCTCTTGCAAATTACGAATGCTGCTGCAAACCATTGGTCAAAATAGCAAGGTACTATTGTCCATTTACATGGATAAAGAACCATTTGAAAATTTTGTAATGTAATATTTACATGGGTTGATCCCTATATGCGTACCTTGCACTTCATATAACATATTCATTCTCGATTCACATCGGTAAAAGAAAAAAAAAGATGAACTAAACGAAAACCGATAGGGCGCCAGAATGTAAAAAAGCAGTGTACTCCTACCTAGCTATGACGAATACACAGTTGAGTGGGGTATGTAAGTGAATTAGTATGGTTTTCAGCTATACTATTTTGGTCCTGGAAATAAATAACACAAAAATTACAAGGAACTACTCAGGGGTTGGGGTAGGCAATACAAAGAAGCTGTTGGCACTATCAAACATATATGACATATCAGAGCTAATTCAAGAATGAAAGCGCAACATGATTTCTAGACTCTGAGTACAAGAGGATAGCCGTGATACACGAGATCCAGATCAAAAGGCGAGGACCTAAAGTTAAGGTTACCACAACATGATTTCTAGAACTGCCGCTTTGACACTTCAAAAGGAAGCAAATGGAATTTTGGACATACATCTCACCGTGAGATGAGGAACTTGGTGTGGGACTTGAATTTTGACAGGAATTTCAAAGAAATTTTAACGGTTAGCATTCGCTGAGAGAGTAATCATGTGGATCGACCTATATCCTCTGCAGCCCACGCTTGAAGATGTTGGTGCCTCTCCTCCTCGCTCCTCTTGCTTGGGGAGAGGGCGCGCCCCTCCTCCTCGCTCCTCCGCTTATGCGGGTGGGACGAATGACCGCGCGTTGTTGGCGTGTGGGGGCGAGACGTCGGCGTCGTCGTGCGAATGGCGGGGCGGGCAGGCTGCGCCGCCCGCCGTGCTGCGAGGCGACGTGGCGGATGGGGCGGCTAGCCGGGCTGCGGCGGCGGTGGCGAGGCTTAGGCGGAGCGGGCGGCGCGGCAAGCGCGGGCGTGGGCGGGCTGGCGGCGGCGGCGGGGCTGGCTGCGTCAAACAGTTCACCTTTGCGCTGGCTTGCGGGCTGCGCCAAACGCGTTTAAGTGGTGAAGCGGTTTGCCGAGAGCTAGATCTAGGAGGCTCTCGGCAAACCTTCCCCCTTTGCCGAGAGCCCCCAGATCTGGCTCTCGGTAAAGTTATTTTTTTTTCAAATTTCGTTCGAATTTTTTAACTAGCTAACTGCACAAAAAAATATAAAAAAAATAAAAATTATTATTTGCCGAGAGTAGCTCTCGGCAAACCTCTTCGCCGAGAGCCAGCTCTCGGCAAACCATTGATCCAGGCCAGGTAAAAAAAAGAAATATGCGCCGAGAGCGGGCCTAGTTGCTCTCGGTAAAGAGCCTTTGCCGAGAGCAATCCCCTGGAGCTCTCGGCAAATAATATCCAAAAAAAATTAATAAACAGCAAACGGCTCCGGAAAAATATGAAATTTTGCCGTGTTACAACTTATGCTCTCTAATGGCTATACAAAAAGTTTGGAACTCCAAAACTAATTCGACCGTGACATTGTTTGAAAATCCTAATGACTCCTTCTCAACTTTATGAAACTTATTCGGAGATGTCTCAGATTATAAGAATCATACGCAACCACTTGTGCGAAACATTTTCAATTTTTTACCACAGCCTCCAAGTGTGATACCATGACTTCATTGCAAATATCACAATTTCCAACTTCGTTTCCTTTTTTAAGAATTTTTAAATCGTTGGGCGACATATGTTCGTGGTCTTCGATTCGTAAAATAAAAGGTGAAAAAAACGTCAACAAGATGTTATTTGCCCTCAATAATGCATAAATAGCATGAATATCATTTTCTACTTAATTTTTTCCCGTGTTTAAATCAATCGCTGATCAAATTTTAATCGATTAAAAAAACTCCTTGAAATGCAATTAATTAATTATATATAGCAAATAATTACAAAAATACACAAAATTTTAATATTGAGTACAACCTGTAGTATGTCTTTTGAGAAAAAAGTGTGGAGCATATGAAAGAAAAAATAATTTAATTGGAGAGAGTTAGGAGAAGAGAAACACATGCACATGAAATATAGAAACCACATTTGCCGAGAGCCTGGGAGGGGCTCTCGGCAAAGAGTTTTGCCGAGAGCAGTAATGGAGGGGCTCTCGGCAAAGCGGTGACGCCGTCAGGGCAGGTCACGACTATAGGCCCGCGGCAATGTTTTGCCGAGAGCCTAATTTTGCCGAGAGCGCGGCCTACGGCAAAGGACCGTTTTGCCGACGGGCATTTTTTGCCGAGCGCGGCTCTTGGCAAAACGGCCCACTTCGCCGAGAGCTGTTGCTTGCCGAGATGCAGGCCCACGGCGATCCTGTCACTTGCTGACGGCCGGTGTTTGCCGAGAGCCGCTCTCGGCAAACGTTTTCTTTGCCGAGAGCCCGCGTTTTTGCTCTCGGCAAAAATCTCGGATCTCGGCAAAGGTCGTTTTTCCGGTAGTGAATTATAATAACGAATCATTGATGAGGCTTACTTGGGGAAATCGGTAGAGGCAGAAGCTTTTGTTTTCCTAGTTGGAATGTACACAAATGAGTAATCCACTTTAGTCATCATCCAGACCCAGCAGTCTTCTGGTTCTGGTACTTGTAGGAGCATCTTGCGCATGCAAGTATGTATCCTATCTTATTATTAATATAAGCCGGTAATCATCCCGGATCTTTGGGGGAAAAAAAACGGAGGTCCATATATGCTCCCTCTGCCATTCTAGCTCAGTTTTCCATGCTTGCAATTGCCTAGACCTTAACAAGAACAGCAGAAACAAGTATGTAAGTTGCAACAGTTGGTAAGAGAACTTTGATATTAGAGTCTCGTAGCAGTGTTGATGATCACGGGTGGGAACTTGCTGACAGAGTTCTTGGATAGCCTTGAGAGATAAGGCGGAGTTGTTGAGTGCTCAGCTTCTCTGTTGAGATTGAAGCTCCAGCCGAGAATGTAATGCTTGGAGTTATTAATTACACCAGTCGTGGAGGAGAACCCTGCTTACACTGCTGCATTTGGCAAAGATTGTATGTAATCGAGAGGAGTGGCCTGCTGGGTTTGGTGGACAACAAGAAGGCGCTATTGTGACATTTAGCACTATTGTGACATTTAGCATGGTGTGCTTGCTTTCATAGTCCACCCACACCTGCATTCAGTTACAAAACTTCCCATCAGAGGTGTAGTAACCTGCACTTGCTGAGGCAACGAAACTTAGGCTGTTGATATCGATCCTGATGTGGTGGTCGTCGATGTCTTTGAACTCGTGTTGAGTGTTATGAATGACCGCTGCTGGACGGCGGCCAGACGTTGGCGTCACGTACGGACCGCGCGCAGACCTCAGATTCCTGCATCTTTTGCAATCAGGCTTCGGAGACTATTCATCACCTGTTCAGTCGCCAAATCTGGGCGGTTGTTCTCAGAAAGCTGCCCCTAGACGGGAGTACGGGACCATCCTGGTTCGGGAGGAGAATGTCCTACACTGGTGGTGGCTCAGGGCAGCAAGGGGGTTCTCAAGCCAGCGTGCGCTGGGTTTGATTCTTTGGTGTTTCTCATCAGTTGGAGGATTTGGAAACTTCGGTGGAGGCTGCACCTCGCCCACGGACATGTTTTTCTATGCTTGCTGTTTGGGCATTTGCTGTAGTTGGTCATCTTAGGACTCTGGTAAGTTGTAATTACTCTTTAGGTGTGTACTGGGAATTGGGAAAATGGTTGCCTGGCCAGATCTTTTAACAAGAATTCTACAGTGATGGCTAACCAGGCATCTTTATCTTTAGAAAAGAAAAAGAGCTCAGAGATTCAAGGAACGCATGCTTCTTTGGAAAAGAGACAATGGGGCTGAGAAGCAAAGCATAAGCATATGCAAAGCAAAAGCATACGTAGCGATGGCCCAGGTATGCTCCTTTAGTCTTTAGGCGACAAGAAGCAAGGAATCGTGACTGCTGCATTAATCTGGAATGGAGAAGATAACTACAACAAAGGGAAAAAAAAACATACTAGTGCATCATATCTCTTGCCTACAGCCTACGGCCGTGCCACGACTCTCTACACTGTTCAACCTCAACCATTGAGCTCGGATCATGGGTTAGTTAGGCAGCAGATTGGTTTGCTCGAACCATTCTATACGGGAACAGAGACTTTGCTGAGTGCAAAATTCTTTGTCGAGTATCAAAAATCGGGCACTCAGCAAAGAATTGCACTCGGCAAAGGATTTCTTCGCCGAGTGCTAGACTCTCGGCAAAAGCCCGGCCCTCGGCATAGGCTGACCCGCGTAACGGTGTTCGGCCACGTCCTTCTTTGCTGAGTGCCTGCTGTTAGGCACTCGGCAAAGATTTATTTTTTTTAAAAAAAATTCTTTGCCGAGTGTCTCAGATCTGGCACTCGGCAAAGATTTTTTTTTTAAATTTCTTTGTCGAGTGTCCCAGATCTAGCACTCGGCAATTTTTTTTTAAAAAAAATACTTTGCCGAGTGCCCCTGGCACGGCACTCGGTAAAGATTTAATTTTTTTTTAAAAAAAATGTCTTTGCCGAAACAAAAAAAACTTTGCCGAGTGCCGGAGCATGACACTCGGCAAAGGGGTCTTTGCCGAGTGGCACGGATAAGGCACTCGGCAAAGAGGGTTTGGATTTTTTTTAAAAAATTTCCTCTTTGCCGAGTGTTTTCATAGGGGCACTCGGCAAAGATATTTCGAAAAAAAAATTCTTTGCCGAGCGCCGTGTCAGAGGCACTCGACCAAATATTTTTTTTAAAAAAAAATCTTTGCCGAGTGCCAGATCTGAGACACTCGGCAAAACTTCTTTGCCGAGTGCCAGGCCAGATCGCACTCGGCAAAGAGGCAGTTAAAATAATTAAAAAACCCTTTGCCGAGTGGGAGATCCGGGGCACTCGGCGAAGGAGGGAATTTAACCCCGCCGGCCAACTTCGCTTGCTCACTCGATCCGCTTTGCTCTGCTCTGCTCTCGGTCTCGGTTCTGCTTTGGGTCGTCGCCGGCGGGAGACGGTGCGATGTCGTCGACCGCGGCCCCCGTGGCCTTCATCGGCGCGGACGAGCTCAGCGTCGAGCTCGCCGCCTCCTTCCTCCGCTCCGTCGCCCGCGTCCGCTCGTTCGTCCCCGAGGCCATCTGCGGCGGCTCGCGGAGTTGAATGGCCTCCTCCGGTGCGCGAGCCCAGTGGAAGCCGCGCGAGGTGAGCCTGCGCTCTTGGGCTCCAGTACTGGCTCGATTCGATCGGTTGTGCGGGATGCGTGCCTATTTGGGTTGGTGGGTGTGCAACTGTGGAGTGCGCTGCTATGCTTCCTGCGTGGCTGCGATGCATTTGTTGGAATGCCGAGGTGATCGGGTCATCGGGCTAAGCTGATCGCGTCTTTCGTTAACTGCAGATGCTGCGCTGGTCGTCGTGCTAAGCGATGCTGGTGGGGTTGACGAGTTGTTCTTCGGAGTTGAGGGTATCGCGAAAGGTATGTGTGCTTGAGTTATTCCGTTGACTGCTTCTGGCCGGCTTAACTAAGGATGAAAACGGAACGGAAATATCTCGAATCGAACCGCATCGTTTTCTATATTTAATCCGATCGAATCCGTATTTTCTTGTCCGACTTTACCGTTTTCGCTTTCGCATTTGAGATGTTTCGTATTTCAAATGTAAAAGTAGAAAACGGTTTACACATTTTTCGACCGTTTTCTACTTTTCTACTTTTAATTTGAAATATTCCGAATTCAAAATTCGGTTTAAACCGAATTTGGCCAACTGCAGGTCATACAGCCCAATTACAGGCTGCTCACCACGCAGCTGCGTTCTTTCTACTGGTGGCTAGCTGCCATCTCTTATAGACGGCGTCTAGCCTCATCTCTCTTATTATGTATTTGGTCGTACACTTGTTTAATGCTATGCACTTGAACTAGATCATGCACTTGTTAGTTGTGAACTTGTTATGTATTTGGTCGTGCACTTGTTTAATGCTATGCACTGTGGGTCGGTATTTCGTATTGAATTTTCGCATACCGACCGTGTTCGACATAATTCCGCTCGAATTGGTTCGTTTCCGAAATTCTAGATATTCCGTAAGTTCGTGTTCGTTTTCGTGTCCGGCTTGTCCGCTTTCGCTTTCGCTTTCGTATTTCAAATGTAAAAGTAGAAAACGGTTGAGGAGTTTTTCGACCGAGTTCGACCGTTTTCATCCTTAACCTTAACTATCTACTCTACAAGGTACTGTATAACTTATATATAAGGTTTATTTGAGCATTTTAGGATTACGCGCGGGTTCTATTGCATTGATTCGTTCGACATTGCTGCTTATTAGCCAGTTGGAGAAGCTGGAGCAGAAGCTTACAGGTAAAATACTTTGCATGCCATGCCATTCGCTTCCCAGCCTGGAATGGCTATTGTGCCAAGAGCTCTATGTGCATTTTTTTTTGTTATAGACATAGCAAATCAGCACATTTAAACCATCAAATTTGCATGTTTAATTGTTTGAGTTTAAATGTGACTTCATTTTTCGAGTGAGTATATTTGATAATTTGAATGCTACCACTTATATACCCATTGAGATCCACATGGTCATATGGAGGACCTTAGCTTGGTGGTACTTAGCTAACTTAATTTACCATACAGATGAGAAGAAGGATGTCTTCCTTCTGGATGGATACATTTTCAGTGGTTTATCTGATGAACTAAAGCAACAGATTATTGTAAGCAGTACAGCATATTGGGAATCTGAATACCATGCATCTTCATTTTCCCTTTCTCTTATCACTACTTACCTTGTATATGCCAGATTGTTGCATCTGGGAGACAGGACGTATCAGAAAGAGCTAGAAAGTTTTTCCATAGTAAGTCAAAAGATGTGTAAATTTCTTTGCCAATATTTCCATCTTCTTTTATATCTTATGATGTGCTAAGGTGCAATAATGTTGAAATTCTAATTTACCTGGTGATATTTTCAGGCTTATACAATACCGTTTACTTTGCTGAAGGTGAATTTTGCACTAGCAGGTTTGCTCACCCTTTCTGACAATAGTAAATAGTGTTCTATTTCAAGAATACGTAAGGATAATTACATATCATATCATTATAGAAGGACAAACAGTCCAATACTACCCTATAGCCATGCTATGGAAGTTGGAACATCAACAGTAAAAAAAGTATCCATACCAATTACTGCAACTATCATACGTCAGTTTAAAATATATATGTTTTTTTTATGTCTGCAGCAAACTTAGGGTGGTGAATGATTTGCTGGAGGGCATTCATTTTGTTGCGTCTATTGAAGCAATGTATCTTGGTGTTCGAGCTGGGATTCATCCATCAATTATCTATGACATAATATCGAATGCTGCTGGGAGCTCAAGGTTATGGGAGTTTCTTCATTCTTTTGTGTTCTGTCTAAACAAATAATACCTGACATTCTGTTTAATAAAATTTTACTACACTGATTACAGGATATTTGTGGAGTTAGTTCCAAAACTTCTGAGTGGGGATCCTTTGCTTATTGATTTTCTAAACTCAGCAAGGAAAAATGCAGTTTGTTCCTATTCCCTTTTTCTGATGAGAGTTGTATTGTGTTACTGGTCTGCTTGCTTTTTTGTAATTCAAGTCCACACACACATGTACGTTGCTTTGAAGCTAGCAAGGCCGCCACTTCTCTTAGATTTTGTGAAATTAGAGTTAATGGCTCATTATTCCCGTGAAGTTGTGAGATTGTGATTCAAATCTCTTTCTTAGATTTGAACATCTCAAGGACAGGGTTGCAGCATGTAATAGTTGTAGGTCCAGTGGAGTTTTATTGCACGTAACATCACAAAGTCAATTATGTCGCAGTTGGTTGTTTTCATTTGTTCTATGTTATGTGTGCATGTTGAAACCTGAAAGTAGTCATCCTATGCAGTTGCATCACCTCCATGTGACACGGCCAATGATTTCTACATGTACTATTTGATTTGAAAGCTACCATGTTGTCAACTTGCCGCATCCGAAATTTCCTCACTGTTTGAGTGATATAAGGCAGGGACATATGCTTGAGATGCTCAACTTTTTTGTATCTGACATTCTCATATATTTGATGATTTTCAGTTAAATGACCATTGGATCTTTTGTCATAGTTTTTTGCCAAATGATATACGTGTTGGAGTCTCATGTACCATTTTAACCTCTACCTGCTTCCAGTCATAGTCACCAACAGTCGTAGTTTCTTGCCAAATGATAGCATCTATATATGCTAAACTTGTTATCTTACCATGTTAATCCTGTGACCAAAACTGTTGCTGTTTGACAATGATAGCATGTATATATTGATGTCTGACAATGATGCAACTTAAACCTGTCTGAAATGAAGCCATTTTCTGCTTGTTGCCTCAAAAAGAATTACTTCAGTCCGACTCTAGGATTACGTTAGTCCTTTTAAATTATCTACAAGTAGTCTCTAGATAGAAGTTTATTTGCAATCTATCATGTTTCCTTGCTGGCGAAATTGTTTGTAATACAAGGCAAGAGCTTCTAGATCAGGCAAAACCTAACAGTATTTTGCACTTCATTTTGTTCGGATCTCTTCTTTTTAATTTGTGCCTACAATCTCTATACAGACCAATAATGCTGTAGAGCTGTGTACATAGGCTATTTTCATGCGTAATATATTTGCCAAATTTGCCTAATCCATATACATTTTTCTATTTCGAAATATGTTGCAACACGCTGCCCTCCGATTCGTTTCTTAAAATAAAAACTGTATTTAACCCAAAATCTAGGGTCTACACTCTCCCCTCTAACATATAAGTACAGTAAGAGCAAGCTCAATAATAAAGTCAAGTATTTGGCTATTCTCAAAGTTGTAAGAGTCAAGCTATACAATAGTTGTCTTATTTGACTATATTGTTACTTTTATGTATGTCTTGCCTTCTCAAATTTGGTTGTGTTAATAGTTTGATCATTTTTAGATGTGGTGCTGTTAATGGGTTTTGCATCTTGTTTGATATTTGACCCATGTTATGCCAATCTGCATCTGTCAGTTTTCATGGCTGACTTGTTATCTTTTGATTTGTCAAACATTTGACAGATTTGGGGTTGACAAATATGTTGTCAGATGATTAAACACTTCCTATATTAATAGAGAATATAAAAGATATATGTGTCCTAACTTCTTTTCCTAGTCAAACCTTATTATTATCATGATTTTAATGGAGATTTGTTGATAAATACTCCCTCCGTCCAAAAGAAAATATAACTATGGATTGCGTACAGGTCAAATTAGTTTAATTTTAACCGAGTTTATACTGAATAGTATTAACATTTATGTCTGTAGCCTGCAGGCGTGGTGCATCGAGAAGCATGGGCCCGTGTTCCTGGCCATGTCCAACCCGCTGGGCCTCCTGCTCACCATCTTCTGGCAGCGTCATCAGATTCTCGTCGGAGGGCTCTACAGCGTCCTCTGGGGCAAGAGCAAGGACCACCTCCACCACAAGCAGAGTCCGGAGCAGGCACCGAAAACTCTGGCCACACCCAGCAACGACGACGACCATGACGACGAAGAGGAGAAGCAGCAGCAGCAGCCGCCGCAGCAGAACACGGGCGCCGGCGACAAGAAGCCCGCAGCTCAAGGACTTGTTTGCAATGGAGGCATCATCGCCACTGCGCCATCAGTCCAGATGATGAGGAATCGATCATCTACTGAGCTGATGAGGCGTATACATGTGTATGTGTGTACGTAGGTTCTACGTGCCTATGTCTATGTGGTGGGTGTATCCGATTCCGATGCATATGGATTGCCTTTTGTTCCGCCGATGATCCAGTGAGTGATCCTCCTCTCCATCTGGGCTGAACTGACAGCAGTGTGTTTGCATGGGCCAGAAATATAACAGCTACGTGTGGATGTCTATGTGTGGACGGATGAGATATATACGTGATGAATGAGATATATATGTGATATATGTTTGTATGAATTTATTTGTCATGATGGAGTGTAAAAAAAATTAAAAATTGCCGTTTTGGGTCACTTTGCCGGGTGCCATGGTCATAGCACTCGGTAAAGCTGGAAAAATGGGTGCCTGGAAAACCATTTTTCCAGCTTTGCCGAGTGTTGTGACCATGGCACTCGGCAAAAAAAATTTTTTAAAAAAATTCAAACTTTGCCGAGTGCCGGTCAGAGGGCACTCGGCAAAGATTTTTTTTAAAAAAATTCAAACTTTACCGAGCGCCGGACAAGGGGCACTCGGGAAATATTTTTTTTAAAAAAAATAAAAAATCTTTGCCGAGTGCCTGAAGGGTTGGCACTCGGCAAAGATTTTTTTTTTAAAAAAAATAAAAAATCTTTTCCGAGTGCATGCAGGGTTGGCACTCGGCAAAGAAATTTTGTAAAAAAAATAAAAAATCTTTGCCGAGTGCCTACAGGTTTGGCACTCGGCAAAGAAATTTTTTTAAAAAAATAAAAAATCTTTGCCGAGTGCCTGCATGGTTGGCACTCGGCAAAGAAATTTTGTAAAAAAAATAAAAAATCTTTGCCGAGTGCCTACAGGTTTGGCACTCGGCAAAGAATTTTTTTTAAAAAAATAAAAAATCTTTGCCGAGTGCCTGCATGGTTGGCACTCGGCAAAGAAATTTTGTAAAAAAAAATAAAAAAACTTTGCCGAGTGCCTACAGGGTTGGCAGTCGGCAAAGATTTTTTTTTAAAAAAAATAAAAAATCTTTACTGAGTGCCTACATGGTTGGCACTCGGCAAAGAATTTTTTTTAAAAAAAATAAAAAATCTTTGCCGAGTGCCTGCAGGGTTGGCACTCGGCAAAGTGACCGTCAATGGGGCTAGCGCCGTGACGGTCGCTTTTCTTTGCAGAGTGTCCCTAGGGCACCGAGTGCCCGATAAAAGGCACTCGGCAAAGAGGGCTTTGCCGATCAATTTTTTGTCGAGTGTTCTTTGCCGAGTGCCGCGCTATTTGATTTCTACATGTACTATTTGATTTGAAAGCTACCATGTTGTCAACTTGCCGCATCCGAAATTTCCTCACTGTTTTAGTGATATAAGGCAGGGACATATGCTTGAGATGCTCAACTTTTTTGTATCTGACATTCTCATATATTTGATGATTTTCAGTTAAATGACCATTGGATCTTTTGTCATAGTTTTTTGCCAAATGATATACGTGTTGGAGTCTCATGTACCATTTTAACCTCTACCTGCTTCCAGTCATAGTCACCAATGCCGAGTGCCTGCATGGTTGGCACTCGGCAAAGAAATTTTGTAAAAAAAAATAAAAAATCTTTACCGAGTGTCTACAGGGTTGGTAGTCGGCAAAGATTTTTTTTAAAAAAAATAAAAAATCTTTACCGAGTGCCTGCATGGTTGGCATTCGGCAAAGAATTTTTTTTTAAAAAAAAATAAAAAAATCTTTGCCGAGTGCCTGCAGGGTTGGCACTCGGCAAAGTGACCGTCAACGGGGCTGGCGCCGTGATGGTCGCTTTTCTTTGCTTTGTGTCCCCAAGGCACTCGGCAAAGAGGGCTTTGCCGATCAATTTTTTGCCGAGTGTTCTTTGCCGAGTGCAATTTAGCCTTTGCCAAGTGCCTGAGGCACTCGGCAAAGAACCTGAATCCAGTAGTGTTGGCTCGTCGGCCTTGAGTCAGCTAGCTTAATTATTAGGTACGCTGCTCCCTTCCCTACTGCTCTTAATTATTATATTTTATTATTAGGAGTATGTTTTCTAATTAGATAATAATAGTTATTATTAGCTACAAGTAATATATATAATGCATTTGCATAGGCTGTGTGTAACTGTGTGTGTACATGCACAGGGCAGGCGTGCAGGTGTGACGTTTAGTTGCCGATCCGAGGTTTTCATTCCTTAACCAGTGGATCTAACTAGGGCCGTGTTTAGTTGGAGGCCGGATTCGGCGCCGCCGGATTCGGCAGCACTGTTTAAACACTATAGCATTTTGTTTTTATTTGATAATAATTGTCCAATCGTTGATTAATTAGGCTCAAAACGTTCATCTCGCAAAGTACAACCAAACTATGCAATTAGTTTTTAATTTCGTTAACATTTAATACTTCATGCATGTACCGCAAATTTAATGTGACGGGAAATCTTCTTTTTGTATAGTGCCAAATTCAGAAAATCTGGAGAACTAAACATGGCCTAGCTGCTTTGCTGCTTCTGTCGCCTATTGGCCTTGTACGTCCTGCAGAGAAAATTTGTCATGGAACTGAAGGTACCGCTAACTGTGCTCAAATATTTTATTACCTACGTCAGAAGCAAGTGGTAGACATGTTGTTTCTATGTTTTCCCATGATGATTACGATTTTGCTGCGTTCATATTATATGGCATGCATGTATGGCACCACGCACATGCAACAACGCCTCATCAATCATCCGGATCTGTATATGATATATGATGTTCTATTCTACTACTACAT